CCTAAAGACTGTCTCGACCAGAGCGCAAAGTCCCCTCATCCTCCTCACTCTCTATATAGCACAGATCGGGCCCTCGAGAGCAGATGATACCAGCTTTAAAAAAAAAAATATAGACTAAACAAAAAGAATTTATAAGTAACTTAAAAGTGTCAGCCAGCTTTTAGATACTTTGAACTTCTTGGGCGAACCACTCGCGAACTCGTCGAAAGGGTCGCAACTAGTACGTTTAATGTTTGTCACGATACGAACTGAAAGCAATCCAGTTGCGTACAGAAAATTTTGCGTCGACTAGTAGGACTTATAAAATGACTAATTAGATGCTAGGGACGTGAATCGTTCTTCTCCCACCGCACTGGAAACGTAAGTGAGTACATGAAGGGAGTAAAGGTGTGAATTTTCCTTTGAAATTTGAACCTCTATGTACGAAAGGCGTTCATACACCAACATGTGTGCGACATTCACACACTTGGTTTTCCCGTTCTCCAAAATTATTTGCAACCATTACAACGGTTCTCCACTTCCCCTAACCACCTTGTATTTATGTCTGCAATAAACCGTTCTTTTCTTCCGCGTCGCGCAGGGTTGTTTTGGTAAGCGCATCCAAAACAGCTGACTGGATACACAAATGAGCGTGAGACGCTCAACGTGGGTCTTCCCGGGGCGCGGTCGCCGGCGCGGTGAAGGGGCGGGGGGCGGCCGCGGCTCGGACACTCGGTGGAAAGACCTTTCTCTCTCTCTCCCTGTGTGAAGCGTACACACAGACGGACATGATGCCCTGAACTTTGGACAAACAAGATAATATCGGCTGGCGAAACCGTAAAGGAGCCAGTACACACATGCGCTCGGTCCGGCCGGCAGGGCCGCCCTCTGGAGACCCGCGTGTGTATGAAGCAGTATTAGAATATCCCCCAAGTAACCACGCGTTATGTACAGAATTCCTTTCTGTATGCGTGAGGTGGAGTGTACAACTTCTACTTTCACTGCATTAACCCCTCGATACTCCCGTCAATGTCCGCAATCGACCCGACCAGAGCCTCGGCCCCTGAGGTATATGTCCGCGGGACGCCCCCCCCCCCCCCCTCCTACTTCCCCCTCCTAAAGACTGTATACCGAAGTGTGTGCTCATCCTGAGTACACGGCGGTTCATAGAAATTGAAAAATTGACACTATCATATCACAGGAAAATTTCGATGGGAATAACGTGCTTTGATTTGTTAGATTTGATTAAAATTTCCATTGAAAACTTCCATCGTGGTTTGATGGAACAACTTTTTCAGTGGAACCCCCTTGAATCAGAGAAACCTTTATTTCCACCGGTTCGAAAGGTCCCGCGCTCGGTGCTCTGCTGCCGGGGTGCATGGGGGCGGTGGACTTCGATCGACTCGGCGGGGAGCGAGGGGCGGGAGTGTGGGTGGTCGCGGCTGAAGGTCACGGGTGCGCGAGGGAGTGCTAGGGCCTAACCTACAAAAGCGCTCGCCAACACGGCGGCGGTCACCTTTTCTGAGGGGCTGTCAGCGGCGGCTCGCGGTTTAAAACGTCGCCGTCGAGCCGCGCGCAGTCGGCGGCCACGGCCTCGAGGTCAGCGTTTGAGGTCTGGTCCGGCGCGGGTCGACCAGAGTACACTCACTCCGCGAGAGCTGGATTCCGCGAGCACGTCGCAACGACAAAGGACGCCCGCCTTTTCCTTGTTGGCCCAACTTTGCCGTCGATCCTTTTAGTCACCACCCTATCTACGCCCACGTGTCCGGAGATGTGGCTCGACGTGGTCTGTCCCCGGCCGACTTTTGTGTCACTCACCTGGATTGTGTCGCCGGTCCGCTTGCAGTGCGCCGTCTCGTACTGGACCTTGGCCAGGATGTGCTCCTCGGTGTAGTGCACGTCGTCGGAGAGGACGCGGATGTTCGCCATGGTGTCGGCGGCGAGGTGCCGGGCGGAGCGAGGCGGAGTGTCGTCGGTGGCGGCGGGGCGGCGGCGGCGGTCTGAGCTTGCTCCCCGCGCCCTGAGCTCTTGTGTGGGCTGCTCTGGGGGCTAGCAGGGCGCTGGCCTTGGCGGGGCAGGGTGGGGAGTCCCGGCGGAGGGAGGGGGAGCGAGAGAGCTAAGAGTCTGAGAGAGAGAGGGAGAGGGGTCCAGCACGGAGGGAAGGGAAGGGGTGGCGGCGCAGGACGCAGGGCACGCCTCCGTCTGGAGCAGGGCGTTGACACCGGCGCGGAACAGACAACATGCAGAAGGGCGACAGAAGAGCTGACGCCGGCGCGCCCTCCAACTGGACCAACGCCGGCCACCTCGTTGTATGGAGTGTGATCGGCGATAGTGCGGAGCAGGGGTCCAGGTGCGTTGCGTGGCTTGGCGTGGCGTGGCGTGGCGTGGCGTGGCGTGGCGTGGCGTGGCGTGGCGTGGCGTGGCGTGGCGTGGCGTGGTTGTTTAGAGCGCTCTCTGCCGGGCGTAGCACTCGCCCTTCTCGACGGCCTCGCGGACGGCGGGCAGGGCCGCCACGAGCGCTGCCTCCTCTTCGGGGTGCAGGGGAGGCACGCCGAGCGAGCGGAGCGCGCCGTCGACGCCGAGCACGCAGGGGGTGGAGAGGTATCTGGAGGGAGGGAGGAGAGGGGAGCATGGAGGTGGAACTCGGTGAAAGGCAGACACGACCAAATCGCGGTAGAACAAGTCCAGTTGCACGGCAGTTTGCTTTGCAGTTTGCTTGAGGTCGCGAAGTCATGTTATAGACGTTTTCAGGGTGAAAATCAAGAGAGAATTCGTCACACCATCAAATCGAAGCTAGTAAAAAAAAAATCCGTGCGCCCTGAGCGGACGGGAAGAGCTTGCAGTTACAGCGAACGGCAAACGCATACATTGAATTTGTGATAGTACATGATAGTAGTCGAAGTTTTCACACGCATACACAAACACACATACACACACACACCCAATGTGATGTAACAGTAATACCCACGTCAGTGTTGACGTACAGTACAGGTTTTCGGTCCGGCAGTGCCGTCCTATGCATAGGAGTTAATACTGCTTAATGTGCAGTGGCGGACAGACAGTTTGTAAGCTAGAGAGATTTGCGGAGAGCTTCGCTTTGCTTTTTCATTCGCTCAGCAATTATATTACTTTGACAATTTAAAAGAGCCTCGCGGTAGCTCTAGCAAAGATTTGTCCGACGCCGCACCTCAGGGTGGCGCGTCGCGGGCACGCGCGCGCTTCCCCGCCACGCCCCGCCCCGCCCCGCCACGCCTCCTCACTGTATCTGAGGCGCGGACGCGAGTCAATTCGAGTCCTCACAGTAGTAGTGCTCTCCTCGGAGTCAGCGGAGTCAGATGACAAGAGCCGACTGCTAGTAGCAGCAAAGGGGAGCGTGGACGCAGCGAGGGAGTGGAAGGGAAGGGAGGGGGGAGGCTTTTAGCTGGCCAGCGTATAGAGCGAACTTTTGCGAGCCTGCAAGGCAAGGTGAGGTTTGGGGCCAAGCCTTTGGTTCCAAAAGTTTGACGACGCTAATGTCACATCGTTTCAATATGCCTGTCTCTCGCTGCTCCTGTGCGCGGCCCGCCTTGCTCTCACACTGCGGACCCGTCGTGGTCCGATGCTGAGCACAGGCTGTCGGAGCAAAATTAAATCAATTTCGGAGACCGCGAAGCGAAATAATAACACGGTGGGTGGTGGGTGGCCTGTGCCGTCGGACCGAACAAACAGTGGTGCAACAAACGAACAACATCGTGCCTCTCGGATAGCCATCGCCCCAGCTACGTCGCCATTGCGCCCCGTGCCCTGGTCGCACCGAGCGGTTTATTCGGGATCAAAAGTAGGGGCTAAAAAGATTCTGGCAAGTGCACTATTTTAAAGAAGATCTTCACAAAAAAAAATATTTGTTGTAAAAAAATGCAGAATTTTCTCTGACTTTTTTGCGGGGGCGGGGTCACAACTTTGTCCTCGTTTTGAAAATTAATAAACTTCAAAAGTATTGCAACTCGACTGGATGAGTCGTCGTGCACCGTACTCTGCAAGTACCAGCCTCTCTTTATTATACATAGTATGGCTACCCGCGCCCCGCTAATGTACGCTGATTAAACTAAGTGTGCAACTGCAAGTTGAATGCAGTGGCCACTCGCCCACTCGCACAGCCGCGCCTCTCATAGCTGCGCTAAGCTCTACTAGCCTGACCACACTGCTCACCGCCATACACTGCTAGCGCGGATCCTCATCGTTCTCTGATTACCGTTCAACAGCTTTGAAGCTAAAGAGCACATACAGCACTGTGGCTGCATCTCTCGCCCGGCCATTTAGCGGAGATGGGGGTCCCACGCATAGCCGCGGCGGCCTACAAAGGAGAGCCGTGCGGCGCGGCTATGCGAGTGGCCACTGTACTTTCAAATAGTGTTCAACTCCATAATAGTACACGTAAAAGTTTTAAACCCGATAGGTGTGCACAGGTAAGTGCGCAACTCCTCTGTTGAGCACTTATTTCTACACACAGTGAGCGTTCAAGCAAAAGAAAATGTTCAGCAGAGGAGTCGCACACTTGTAAAGTATTCCACTTCCAGTTAAACACTTTAGGCACCCCCACAATAAACATTCCCTGGGTTGATCACGCAAGGAAACATGAAACATTGATTGCCAAACGCACTCGTGCCCGAGCCCTTGATGCTCGTGGCGGCTGAGGGCGGGCCGCCGATTGCACACAGCTGCTCGGCGGGCTGGCCTACCCAGCGCGTCGCAGGCGCTCTCACTGGCGTCGGCGAGGCACGTCCCTGTTTGTAGCTACGCAAAGTTGTAGCTACACAAAGTTGTAGCTACACAAAGTTGTAGCTACACAAAGTTGTAGCTACACAAAGTTGTAGCTACACAAAGTTGTAGCTACAAACAGGGACTTTGGAGAGGCAAACGTTAATTGTGGGGACACAATTACTTTTATCAGTGTAAGGGACGGATGACATTCAAATTCTACTTACAGCAGAATATTTCTAGGGGGAAAAATGGAGCGAGATTTTCGGGGCACGGCCTACCTAGAAGTTATTCTCCCAACAACCGACTGACCTAGATGCAGGCCTAGATGCAGATTTTCGAAATTTGGCAGATTGGGTTGTCAAAAACTTGTAGCAGGGGCGAGATGTCTGGTACCCAAATTTACTCGCACCTTTGAAGTGTCTTAATGCTTCTAAAACAGCCTAGGTAGCGCCCTAGAAAGATGTGATTGTCTACCTCTGTTTTACTAGTAAAAACTCGACGCTTAGAATAATAATATGATCACTGTAACACAATGAAAAACTATCGTCTCGAACCATATGGGTATCCACAGGAAAAAAAAAACAACCCGGCCGCCTGATGCATAAAATAAATGGCCAACACGGGGTTCTGGCCGCACCCACCCTCCATCACGAGGAAAATATATTCAGGTAATTTGCGATTTTGTGGCTTTTTCCTCCAAACCTCACCTTATGAGCGAGCGATCTCTCTTTAGTTGTCACATGAATTTTTTTTACAAGGAACACGTCGCTATTCGCCATTTCAATGTTACAATTTACATTTGGGAATTCAGGCAAGGCATGTTACATCTTGTGGATTATCATCGATTCATTGAAGCAGGTTCCAGACGAGCATTCTGTTGTGCATACTAAAAATATGAATACAAATGTAAGGAAAAGTATGAATGTAAACAAAATAATAGGTCCACACAACCCGAGAGGGTACACCACTCCGATTCCGGGCACACACCAACTTTTTACTTTCTTTTAAGACATTTAAAAACAAAATGATCAAAATACTTAACATCTTGAGTGAACGTGACAAACACCGTGCGTCCCAATACAACATTTACAACCCCGCCGCACTTTACAACAGACTGGCGCGAGGACTTGCCCATAAAATCACATTTAAATTTTGCCGAATTACAGACTGACTTATCAAACGCGTTTGACAACGTAATCCCCCCATTAAAGTGATGTACCCCTCGTTACACCATAGCCAGCACAGCCTTTCAATCTAAATCACAGCCCTATCATAGGAGGGAAGTACAGAAAGTAAGTGTAAGTATGAAAATATACTGTACATCCTTTTCATCACACCTCTATTAAATCAGAACTAAAAAGTAGGGGAGCCATTGATGGGGGACTCTACATTATAAACATACCTCTCACTCACACAAACTTGATATCGCGAGCAATTCTGATAGATATGGCGTTTGCTCACTATGGTGACCGACTGACGCTCTTATTTGTCGCCCGCGATGTACTTGAAGGCGGCGCTCGCGGCCCTGCGGGCCCCACCCTGGCCCTGCCCAGCCCTGGCACCCAGGCTGCTGGAAAAGAAGCTGGCCCAATAGGCGCTGCTGGCCCACTGATGTTGGCCGCCGGCCCTCTGCTGCTGGCGGGCGCGCTGGCGGTGCAGCTGGTACTCACGCTCGTGGACAGTACCCCAGGTGGGGACGCGGCCGAGGCTGGCTGGCGTGGAAGTGCTCACATTTGGGTTGCTGCCCGACAGGGCCCGCACCCCTTCACCGAGCTGCTGCGTGGCGCGCCAGGCGGCCAGCCGGCTCTGCGACCCCCCGTACGACCCCAGGGAGCCTAGGGAGCCCAGGGAGCCCAGGCTACCACCTGCCCTGCCCAGCGCCGCGGCGGGCTGCTGCAGCTGCAGGCTGCGCACGGACTCGGCCAGGCAGCCGTAGGCGGCCAGCAGGGGGCTCTTCTTCTGCTGAGGCGGGAAGGCCCCAGCAGCGGCCGGGGTCAGCTTGACCTGCGGCGGCGCGCGCGCCTGCCGCTCCCGCAGCGCCGCCTCCTCCAGGTGCAGGGCCTCCACCATCCTCCGGACGCCCTCCATCTGCCTCTCGCACTGCCGTCGCTTCAGGCGCACGAGGACCTCCCTCCGCTGCTCGGCCTGCATGTCGTCGGGCGTTGCGTTCACTCGCGCGCGTGCTCCCTCCCGACCGGAGGTGCGTCTGGCGAATGACGCTTCCCTGACGGTCCAGGCGCGGTGGGCAGGGCGAGCGAGCGGGG